CGGAACGAGCATGTTCCGTAACCTGATCGGTGAGCGCCCACTATCATAATTAATATTCCCGATCACAACCGACAGGACAACGGGCCCGTGGCTCAATGGTAGAGCGTTCAACTCCATGACCAAAGATCCCGGGTTCGAATCTCAAGTGATCCACACTTGGGGTTGGGTATGACTGGCTGATGACGGCTAATAAGCCAGAAATGGCCATTCCGGTCTCCCTTGTCTTTGTCGGTATCATCTCATCTATGTCTACTACTAGTCGCTGTGCGACTGCCTGCGAGGGTTTAAGTATGAGCCCCAAGGCACAACGGAACGAGCATGTTCCGTAACCTGATCGGTGAGCGCCCACTATCATAATTAATATTCCCGATCACAACCGACAGGACAACGGGCCCGTGGCTCAATGGTAGAGCGTTCAACTCCATGACCAAAGATCCCGGGTTCGAATCTCAAGTGATCCACACTTGGGGTTGGGTATGACTGGCTGATGACGGCTAATAAGCCAGAAATGGCCATTCCGGTCTCCCTTGTCTTTGTCGGTATTACCTTTCCAACATATATCACTAGTCGCTGTGCGACTGCCTGCGAGGGTTTAAGTATGAGCCCCAAGGCACAACGGAACGAGCATGTTCCGTAACCTGATCGGTGAGCGCCCACTATCATAATTAATATTCCCGATCACAACCGACAGGACAACGGGCCCGTGGCTCAATGGTAGAGCGTTCAACTCCATGACCAAAGATCCCGGGTTCGAATCTCAAGTGATCCACACTTGGGGTTGGGTATGACTGGCTGATGACGGCTAATAAGCCAGAAATGGCCATTCCGGTCTCCCTTTTCTTTGTCGGTATCATCTCATATATATATATATATGTCAATATGCGTGAAGATGCGAGGTCCAGATATATTACCGTGTATATCATCCCCCGAGGAAGACGAAGAAGAGAAATCGATTTCATGGTCCATGAAATCGATTTCTCTTCTTCGTCTTCCTCGGGGGATGATATACACGATATATATATGTATATATATATATATATATACGACATGGGGTTATACCGCACTCCAGACATAAGTACTAGCTAATAGCTTAGGCACGTGTTTCGCTGATGCTTCTGCAGCCACTTGATGCAGCTGCGAGGGATTCGGCCCCTCAATGAGTCCCTCAACATTCTCTATGTGAATTTTAGTACAGAAATTTCATACGATGATCAAGGTGATTTCAGAAAGTATCAAATACAGGACATGAAGTCAAGTGTCCGAGACATGGCTTTTCAGAGTCAGACCCAAAAATTCAGTAAACATTTAAGCCGAGGACAATCAGCTACTGTAGAACAATTATGTTGTGTATGCATGCATAGACAAAACGATATTACCGGAGTGATATTACTGGAGTGGCCATTTCTGGCTTATTAGCCGTCGTCAGCGAGTCATACCTAACCCGAAGCGTGGAGCACCTGCAGCTCGATCCCGTGACCTGTTAGGTAGAGGTCCAACGCCTCTAACTACTAAACCACGGGCTCGCGTCATGTCGATTTCGATCGGGAATATACAATGGTAGAAGGGGGGGGGGAGCGCTAACCGATTGTGTATACGGAAATAACTCGTCCCGTTGTGCCTTACGGGTTGTATCTCGAACCCAACCAGCAGCACCAAAGCGATGCATAACACAAGCAGAATATTGCCCCACTTCGGAGTTTGGGTATGGCTGGCTGACGACAGTTAATAAGCCAGTCTCCCTTGTCTTTGTCGGTAATAACATACTGCCTATATAATGAGCCGCTGTGCGGCTGTTGGTTGGGCTCAAAGGAGAGAACCCGTACGGCGGAACGGGACGAGTGAGTTCCGTAGGAACTATTTGTGAGTGTCCCCTCTAGCATACCTAAGTATCGCGTTCATCATCTCCCGAAGAAAACGAAGAAGAAACGAGGGCGAAATCATGGACCATATTGTATCCGAACTGACGTTTCCGAAACTTCCTCTTTTCCGTCATCAGATT